TTGCAACCTTATGCAAACCAAGTATTTGAGTTCAATGACTATTTATCAGATCAACCTTATCAACTTGCATACATTAGGAAGGCATGAAGGTCATTGAAGCATCCACTGCAAAACAAGCATCCAATCAAAGATAAAAAAATCAATCTTGAAGGGTGAGAAATCTGAGTGCGTGAGTATTGAGCAAAAGGCAGACTAAGGAGTAGGTTTTACATTGTTGGTAAATGAGACCAAACATGCTGGCACAAAGAGGACTAGAAGGAGGAAATTGTGGAGTAAAGGAATCAAAATAACAAAATATTCTTTTAATTTTACTGAAAATTATATTCCTTTCAATGCAAAATTTATGAAATTCTTGATTGTGTGAATGCATATATAAAAAGAACATTGTCTCTAAATATCCAAGTGATATTTTTAAAATTGCTTAGATGTTATTATTTGAAATTATATTGATCGAAATAAAATGGTAATTTGGAATTATGGGTTGTAGTTATTGCACCAAACAATATTTACATGTGTGGCCTATGTGGAAATTCTTTAAGACATAACTGGCCTTCTATTAACAGGAGATTAGTGCTTCATTTGTCTATATATAAGCCATCAATCAGATGCCTAATTCTCAAAGGCAAAACAAGTCATGAAGATGAAGGAAATAATATACATTCTTAAGATATGGGTAGACAAAAAAAATACATTCTTAAGATACGAAAAAAAAAAAATGGAGTCATTGACAGCATTTAATATTGAAGTCATGCTAAATATAGGTGTTCATTGAAAAAATAAAGGAAAAGAAATAATGAACAAATGAAAAAGAAGCTCAAGATAATGAAGGTAAAAAAAGGGAGTCTAAGGCACCCGTTCAGAAGAGCAAGTTTTCACCCATGCTTTGGAGGGAAGTAATTCATCTCAAAGACTACCACATATGATTCATTTAGTAATCCATAGTCTGGAGAATGATAATGAAGTTCTTAGTGTACTTTGTCTTGGGGGATTTGTACCAATTAGTTTGGAGAAGCATGCCAAGACGAAGATTTATATTCAAATAAGCCATGCCTGAAGAAATCTAAGTGCTTGGAAGGAATGATACATATTTACGTCACTACCACAAGGAAAGAAAGCCTTCAGACTTTGTCTTACAAGAAGAACTCCAATGAAGAGACTTGAATATATAAATAATGTTTTGTGTTGTATCTGTTTAACTTTATTTATTTTAGTTTCAAAACAATTTTTTTTGGAATATGGACTATATTTTTGGTCCGCCTTTTTGTGGACCACGATTTTATCGTGGTCCTTGCGGTCCACTTCTTCTTTTGGTCATCAGTTTATAAGGTGGTTAACCTTTTATTTTTTCGTTTGTGATTTTTTTTTTGGCCTACATTGTATGGTTGACGTAGATGAGAAGCGGACACATATGGTGATGATGAGCCATCTTTCATCTACATCCCATAAATGGCCCTTTTTTCGGTTAACCAGGAGTTTTTTGAAAATTTGAAAAATTATTGATGCTTTTCCTTAGAAAATATGATGTTTTCATATGATGCTCAACATTTGTGAGCCCATTCATATTTCATGACGGTCTTTCATGAATATGAATGGGCTCTTTCATTAAAATGAATGGTGTACAATGAGCATGTCGAAAATTAGGATACGGTTGCTATGAGTCCTTGTAGAAATGAGTCTCTTAAAAATCTTTTCTTAAAATTCTATTTTTGAGTTGGACTTTTGGACCCTATTTTTATGGATATATAATCTCTAATATGGAGATTATGAATATGAAGAATAAATAAATTTTAAAA